ACTACGTTATATCTTGCTTTATTATAATGTTAGCAGAACAAAAAGGTTTAGTATATTTTGTCCCTTTGTTTGCCTTTTGTTTTGTGTAGTCAGTTTTGCAAGATTAATTATTCTAGCACGGTTAAAATAGCAATATAAATATCATGGCAACAACATGCATAAAGTTCATTCTAATATTTACATTAAAATAACTAACTAATATTTACATTTTTTTGTTGGTTAACCTTAGCACTTTTCCAGTTAGATATTTTAACACAACTAAGGTTCTAAACTAATTACTTCTGCTATACTTAGTGTAAAACCATTAATTAGTAACTCATTGTATTTAATTCAATGTTTGCTCACATGTCGTGACAATCTCATTCTATGCCCAAGGCTTAGTTTAGTTTTTTTTTTTTAAATACTTCAATATTAATGATTAGGCCAAATTAGCTGTACTACTCATGAAACTCAAGTATAACATTTTTATAGCATGGTAGCGGCCAAATTACCAATTAGCCAAATTCCAATTTAGGCTCACAAAAATCCAGCGATGCTGAAGGGCTTGATGTCGGTTACGGCTCTCTACCTGAAGTCTCGTGCACGCTCTCGTCTCTCTCTCTCTCTACTACTTAATGTAGCAGACTCTCTACTTCCAATGTCGACTGGACAACACTTGACGGTCAAAGGTTATTTAGCTTCCTTATCGCTCACGGTAGCCGTGGCTGAGCCTCAAATCAACAGTTACAGCTGGTGTTCAACTCTGACTCCTCTGTTATTGTTGGATGTGGCTGGAAGTATGGAACAATTGCAACAATGAAAGCGCGCTTTTTCATTTGGTTGTTTAATCATGTCATGTAGAGTGATCAGTTCTACATAACTATCGCTTCGGTAAAACAGAAGGCCAATGTCACAAGTTCTCTTAAAAGAGTATTGGACGCACCAAGAAGTTCTCGCCTCCTAATCCACTTTCGAACCCACACAGATCGTCTCTTTTTATTAAGTTCATGTTCACACAATTCTTGTACACCAATTCTTAAAATTTGTCTCAAAACATTTCGATTTAAGGGAACAGAAGACATTTTGTGCTAAACTGAAATGACTATTGTGACCAATGAACACTTCACTTCTACATGACTAGCGCTTAATAACTAGCCACGTGTAGATGGGAATATTCGCGCTAGTGTGCCCAGCTAGTGCTAGCAGCAAATACTAGCTGCTAGTAAACTAGCTACGTGTACACGGGGCTTAAACAAAGCTGGCTCAGAGACAGAAGGTTTCAAGGCGAGCTGGGATGCTACAGCTACTTAAGGTGGAACTTGGTGACGGATGTCATCTATAGAGGCAACGAAGAAGTCAGAGAAAATCTGTGGTGTAAGCGAGTCAATAGTTGGCGAGATCACTCTGCTTTTACACTTGTTAATGAGCTCCCAGGCCCTTTTGCATTGATTGGATGCAGAAGCAATTGAATCAGCATTTGATTCTAGTTTAGCATGAGCAAGAGCTTTTTTGTAGCTGGTTTTAGCTTGTTTGTACCCTAGCTTTGTCTCTTCAACCAGCGCATTATACCTCTGGGCCCACTGCCAGAAGTCATATAACTTTGTTACCTCCTTACGTTTCTCAGATAATTCACGACTGAACCATTTAACTTTGGATTTTTTACTAACATCTGTTGGTGTAATAGTTTTCTCAGGAAAGCAGACATCCATAGCATTCTTGAAGGTGGAGAAAAACTTGTTAAAATCATTAAAATTGCCCTCTAACTTCACATCCCAGTTTATGCTGCTTAAAGTTGATTTGAATAAGCTGGTATTATGTAAACTGAAACTTCTGATAACCTTGGAATTTTGCTGTTTATCATAGGCAATATTATTTGGGTTGAAATTATCCAAATTCAGGGTTGTTAATAAGGCATCATGATCTGACAGTGGAGGTGAAAGGACAGTGCTAGTGATACCATAGCAACAAATCTGAACACTTGGGAATACAGAACATCTGTCGTTGACCCTACTGTAGCTGATCACTCTGCAGTGATTATGCAGATAAAACCAAGCGAAGACCCTGACCTAGTCAGTGGGCAACCTAAAGTCCCATGGCAGGCCAGCTACATTGTTTCCAAACAGATAGTCAGAGACGAGCTCCTGCCTGTTCTGAAGTATGAACTGAGGAAAGTTGATTGGGTAAATGAAACAAGTATAGGCCTAACTCAGAACGAACTGCCTTTTGATAGCTTTATCAGTATTTTTAACTATAAATTCAATTCTATCTTTCCTACGACAATAAAAAAAAAAGTAAAATAGGCCTTGTAATGCCAGGCGTGGATGTGCGCAGCAGGTGAACCTTGGTATTCACCTTCCCTACGTCATCTTAAAAACCTCGTTAAGATTATCAATGACCATGTCACGTCCACCGAGTCACTGATTGAGAGAAATAAATTATTTGCCCTATATCTTAAAACAAATAGGCTGTACAGAGATAAAGTTTCAGAGGCCAAAAAGGCTTTCAATGTAAAAGTCATAGAGCAGTCTTCGAATAAATGCAAAGCTGCCTGGAGTATCGTTAACCAGCATCGACCAAAAAGGCTTAAAGTTGGCTGTTCTGCCAGCCCTGATGTCTTCAACGGCTTCTTCCTTGATTCTGTGGATGAAATAGTGGCCAGCCTACCCTCCGTCAACTTTAACCCTCTGAACAATGTACTGGGACCAGGTCTTCAAAACTGGTGTGAAGTAACCCCTAAAGAGATCTGTCAGGTTGTTAAGAACTTAAAGAACTCTAAAAGCCCGGACATCTATGGGGTCTCATGTAATGTTCTAAAATCTGTAATCAGTGATATTGCCTCTCCTCTGTCATCGGCTATAAACAGCTGTCTCAGGGATGGTATTTTCCCGGATTCCCTCACTGGTTCTCACCCTCTGTGATTTGAGTCGTGCGTTTGATTGCGTGCCACACGACATTCTGCTTAGCAAGCTAAAATCATATGGGGTTGAAGGCACCACGCTACAAACAATCTCCAGTTATTTAACTAATAGGAGGCAAATTGTATCGCTGGAGGGAGCGAATTCGGCCAGTAAAGAAATCTCCTACGGTGTTCCCCAGGGCTCTGTCCTAGGGCCTCTCCTTTTCCTGATATTAATTAATGACCTAGGAATAGACGGACAGGCATTACTATTTGCTGATGACCATTCCATACCATACCATTTCTGGGTTTGATACAACCTGTTATTTTTTTATGATTGGAAATAAAAGCTATTGCACTAATTAAAGCAAGTGAAAAGGCAAAACAAGCAGCAGAACCGTTTTTAAATGCTAGTACCACACAATACACCATAGCCTTAAATGGAAAAGGGTTTGTTCTGTTGATGTATGGGCTTAGTAATTTCTCCAGCTTAAACAAAGCATGGTATTTTAGTTTCACGCGAATAACAAAAAATGCATCATTAAGTCAGACATTGAGTTAGTCAAGCTCTCCCAACCATCAGAAAAATGCCATCAACCAACACCTCTCTAGAGTCTACTTACAAGCGTAAAGTTGGTTAGAAAACAAACTTACACCCACTGATTGGAGTTGGATGAAAGGACAATCCAAAAAAACTCTAACAAATAAAAAAAACCTAGGACCCGTCATAAGAAAAAAACCTATAGCTCATGATAGCCTATTATCAGGTTTCATGTTCATGAAATTTAAACATGATATAAAGATTATTGTGGCTGCAGAAAATCTAGCTAAACATGTTCTTCCATTTGTTAACATTGCAATGGGCTATCATGTTCAAATCCATTGCAATATCATGACGATTTTGATGAGTTAAGATCTGTTATATGATAAGTAATATGATAAGGCTCAAAACTCTTTTGATAAAATACGGTTCTGTGATTAAAACACAAATTTATTTAATTATTGAACTGTTTTGTCATTGATAATTATTAATCCGGATGTTTCATAAGAGTAAAAAATAACATGTATAATAAATTTCGACCCTCGCATGTAACAGCAAATACACAATATTAATTAACAGTCTGTACATGTACTAAATGAACTATAGAACGTTAAATGTGTTCTATATAAGGAGGTAAATTCAAATATAAGAACCATAATATGTAAATTGTTTTTATTGTTGCCGCGCATAAAAAAGCCAAAGTCCTGTGAAATCAATTTACTGTACTATCTATATTATGTACTATACGCGACCAAACTGTTACTAACTATATATCATCTTAAAGCTCAAATTATGTACTAAAACTTTTACATAAAACATTTTGTCGTGCGACTTCATTATAAAAAATCTACAAGGAAAAGATTGATAAAATTAACCCGTAAAAATTAATATTTTATGTTTATGTCATTTTTGTGACAAAACTATCAACATTTAGGCTTACATGGTAAATACAATTTTTGTAGAAAATTTCATCGCAAAAAGGATTAACAAAAGATTACATTGTTATCTTTACCCGTCTTGAAGTTATAGCCAATTTTCCAAGAGACTGTAAATTTATCTAAAAAGGGGGGGGGGTGAGAGGAAAGCTCAAGGGGGAGGAGTTGGGACTTTTGGGAAAATACTCCTCTCAACATGGTCTAACACCATAAAAAAATCCAGCTTTACCAAAATTAGTTCCGACAAAAAACCTATATTGACTGGGCTATACTTATGCATTGCTATCGCATATATTCTTGATCTACACATAAAACTATACAAGAAAAACATAGTCTGCATTTGCCACCCCAGGTGGCACCAATTAAGGTAATTTTTAGGTTTGGCTCTTGGACTAATATTGAGAAAAATTTTTTTACAGAAGTTTTTCTCGCACCCTAGACTTTGCCCCCATGGCAAGCCTAGCACTTTTCGGCAAAAATAAGTAAATAATTCTAAAATTTTTTGGGAATATATTGTTGCATCAAAAGGGTTAAGTAAATAGTATTGAAACCAGTCAAAGTAGTGAAGTGATTGGATTGAAACTTGTCTTTTAAACAACTTAATCTCATTTAGAGTAGTCTCCTATTTAAATACTGTTTTCTATTCCAGTGCAAAGGATGTCTGTGCCAGCCCACCCAGACCAAGTTCACTTCCGATTCCTGTCCCGACCCAACACAACGTCTTCCCTACACAGCAGGTGCGTGGTTACTAGTGGTGTTTATGTTTGTGTATCATTCAAGTAAACTTTTGTTAGTTAGCCATCATAGTTGTTTTAATGTTTATTTGCAACTGTTTACCCCAGTGAGTTGTAATTATTTTGTTTATTTCATCTGTACTAACTAATACCGTTAATATGCTGTATATATGGCATTTTTTCTGTCAGTATAATGATAAAAAAGTCTTCAGCATGGTTTAAAATCCACATATAAATGTGTTGCTGATGTGTAACTATAGATTGGGAGAAGTTTTTAGTAGGCTCATTTAATAATTGTTTTAAGTAATAGTGTTATAAAAGATTCTTAGTAATTGTTTTCTATTTCCCCTTAAGAAAAACATATAGCATTTTAACTTTTTTTAAATTTGTTTTTCAAGTTAAAACATACTTGAGGGGGGGGGGGTGTTGGGCCTTAAAACATAGAAAAGCCCATTTTTCATTGCATTAAAAAACAAACAATGTTGTATATTGATCAAATCATCTTTATTTTGCACAGAAAAAACTGTATAATAGCTTCACAATAATCTATTCTATACATAATTCAGTTTTAAAAATCTTTGTACAACTAAATCTAGAGTTCTAGTGGACCGATTTTAGCGAATTTCCCTATAGGGAAGTAGCTATTACCGTAGGTCTCGTGGTAAGACTTAGGCCCGGGACCGATTTACTTTTTCATTTTGATGTCCCCAGAGGCCAAAAACACCATTCGTTCAAATTTTTATATATGTGTATATATATATAGATTTATATATATATGTGTCCGTGAACACGATAACTTGAGTGATTTTTATCCGATTTTGATGAAATTTGGTTTGAAGGTCAGTATTTGAAGGATCAGTGGCGGGATAAACTTGAATGAGTTCGCGATCCAGCATGATCGGACCATGGGAACAGGGTTTTATGGGGTAAAAATAGGGTTTTCTCACTTTTGACCCTCAAAACACAAAATTTCCCAATTTTTCTCTAAACCTTCTTAAAGAGCTTAAAAAAACAAACAATTCAGTATTTCAAAGTGTTTTTGTACGGTTATTGGTTACGGAGAAAACTAAAAAAATTGTAAATTTAAAATTCCCATGTTATTCTTATGGAGAATATTGTAAAATGTTGTAGTTTGCTTGTTTATGGATATCTTTTAATAAAACTTGGCAAATATATTCATTTTATAACAAGCAATAATTATTTTACTTAAAACACAAACTTTATTAGTTTCCTTGTAGCAGCAAACCTAGGTACTCGTTAAACCTAATGTTATTTAAATAGATCGATTGAAAATCAATCCAGCCAAATGGAAATTCGCTTAGACAGCAGGTTTGCTGCGGCGGGGGTATTATTAATTAATGTGTCGTTGGACAGCTTAATTCGTGTAGATTTGCAAATAATTATGAAAGTTTGTTTTTGTTATGATTTATGGTGAAAAATATAAAAAAACATGTTTTCCATAAGAAATACATTGAAAACGGTGTTTTTCAGACTTTTTGTTTGGGTGAGACTTTTGGCTGCCTTTTTGAGTGTTTCCAAGAACTGTATGGTACCAATTTGTAGGAAATTTTATTCTCTTTCAGAATATCACCTTCCACTTTGGTCGATTTCCTCACCATTTAAAAGTTATTTGCAAAAAAGCTAAGCAACCTCCGAATTTTTAGTAATGAGAAAATACTGAGTTAGGGATATTTTTGTTAAACTTTGTACAACTAAATCTAGACTTCTACTGGACCGATTTTGTTAATTAATGGGTCATTGGAAAGCCCAACTCATGTAGATTTGCAAATAATTATAAAGGTGTGATTTTATTAAATATTTGTTTTAAAAAAGTAAAAATTACTAAAATAAATTAAAAACTGCTTTTTTAAGTTTCTGTTTTCAAGTTTCTATTTGTAGCCAGCTTTTGGCTGTCTTTATTAAGATTTTTTAAGAAATGCATAGTAGTTATTTGTAGTAAATTTTATTCTCTTTCAGATTCCACTTTGGTCGATTTTCCCTCGATTTAAAAGTTATTGGCAATAATCTAAGTGATAATCCAAATTTATAGTGGTGAGAAAATACTGAATTATATATATTTTTGTTAAACTTTGTACAACTAAATCTAGACTTCTACCAGACCGATTTTGTTACTTAATAGGTAGTTGAAAAGCCTAATTCGTGTAGATTTGCAAATAATTATGAAAGTTTTAATTAATAGGTCATTGGAAAGCCTAATTTGTGTAGATTTGCAAATAATTATCAAAGTTTGATTTTTTAAAGATTTATTAGGTGAAACCCGTCAAAGTCGACAGTTACTGACCTTGAAAGCAAGACCGTTTGACTATAAATCGATGATAAATAACTTAATAAAAAAAAAAAATAAAGTTGTTTGTGATTTAGCAGTGTGCTTTAGTCACGTCTGATCTTGATAATCAATAATTCAAATGGAAGCTGGTATTTCACTGAAGGTTCTTAGGTCAAAACAAATAGAATAACGTAATAAGAATTGAGTAAATATATCTAAAACTAAATTACATATCCAAGATATAATTAAATTTATGTTTTCTCATTGAGCGATACAGTATATCTTTTTAAAACGTAACTGATTAAAACTATCAATATCTCAAGTGAAAGTCTTTGAAGTATTTTAAGACCAAGACATATAAAATAACTTAAATAAAATTTGAGTTACGTATCATTGATTGCAGATAAGTACTAAAATGATTATAATTATTGATGATTCGTGATTCAGGTAGGATCAGGTAGGATTGCTTTAGTTAGGATTATTAAAATGTGAATCTTAATAATCAATAGCTCAAATGAAAGCTAGTATTAAAGTTTTTCAGACCAAAACAAATAGGGTAATGTAATTAGAACTGCTGGAATACATCTTTAATTGAAGTAGAAAATAAAATACCCCCGCTGCAGCAAACCTGCAGACTAAGCGAATTTCCATTAACCTGATTGGATTTACACTAAAATGCCTCCATAAAAATAGCACATTTATTTCCTATTTAAATAGAATTAGTTTAACGAATACTTAGGTTTGCTGCAACAGGGAGGGTAAAAAAGATTTTTTTTATAAAATGACAATAGTTTAGTAAGAAATAAAAGTATTTTCCAAAATCTATCAAAATATGTTCATAAACAAGCAAACTACAACAGTTGACTTATTCTCCATAAGAATAACATGGGAATTTTAAAATAACAATTTTTTTAAATTTTCTCCGTAACAATTAGGCGCATAATAACGCTTCAATATACTAAATTATTTGTTTTTTTAAGCTCTACAAAATGGTTTGAAAAGAAATTGTGAAATTTTGTGTTTTTAGGGTCAAAAATGGGAAAAACCTATTTTTACCCCATAAAATCCCCCATAAACCCCCGTTCCCATAGTCCGATGATGCTGGTTCGCGAACTCATTCAAGTTTATCCCGCCTTACACCTTCAAACCAAATTTTATCAAAATCGGACAAAAATTACTCAAGTTATCGTGCGGATGGACACATATATCTATATATAGATATATAAAAATTTGAACGAATGTTGTTTTTGGCCTCTGGGGACATCAAAATGAAAAAGTAAATCGGTCCCGGGCTTAGGTCTTACCATGAGACCTACGGTAATAGCTACTTCCCTATAGGGAAATTCGCTAAAAATAAATAAATTTTGTATTTTTTCGTTAAGTAATACATTAGATAAATTAATAATGATGCTTGATGACAAATATGTGCTTGCATAGCTTTATTTTAAGACCAAAATTATGAAAATCGGACTGGTAGAAGAGCCAAACGAACTCTAAACAATTTAATTTAACTCCCATAAGAAATGTAAAGGGACGCATTTTTTACGGTTGATACAGATGATAATTTCTTTTTAAAAACGATAGACAACTCAGTATGTATATGGATGGAAATGTGAGAATATTGTATTCCTTGAAGAGAGGCTTGCAAGAAGTACGACAGGATATTCTGATGGCTGCTCTTAGGGCTTTTTTCTGAAGACGGAAAACAAACTTTGTTCGTACGCTCTCACAGCCCCAAACTGCCACCAAATACGACAATAATGGGTAAATCAGTCCATAATAGGCACTCAAGGTTACACGAGAATCGTTAAACTTCGAAAGACCTCTAATCACAAAAATTCCTGTACTAATTCTTCTGGATATGAGCTCTATATGGTCATGAAAGTTGAGCTGGCTGTCTAAGACCAAACCAAGAAACTTAGCTTTGCTGCAAGAAGAGATCTCTTCGTCACCTATCAAAACAGTCAGTGGGACTTGCTTTTTTGAGCTGTTAATATGGTATTGGAGCATTTTTGTTTTATTGCAGTTTAGAAGAAGTTTGTTGTTTTGGAACCATTGCAAAGCTCTATTAGAACTCTCAAATGCTATTGTCTCTAGATGAGCCACGTCCTTAGCTGAGACACAAAGTGAGGTGTAGTCGGCATATAAACAAACATCTACATTTGAACTTGGATTATTTGATACAAAAGAAGGCAGGTCATTAATGAAGAGCAAAAACAGGATGATAGAACACTGGGGAACTCTCCGAATAACAACAGACGAAGCAGAGGTAGCATGATTACAAATTCCTTGGGAGTCAAGGAAGGGTATCCGGACTGATTGAGTTCTTCCTTGAAAAAAGGATGACACCCATTCGTGAGCTAAGCCCCGTACTCCAAGACGGTAAAGCTTTTCCAGAAGAGTTGGGTGATCAACCATATCAAATGCTTTAGACAGGTCAAAATTTATTCCTAGTGCAGCGTCTCCAGAATCTAGGGCTCCTGACAAGAATGATACAACATGATTGACTGCGTCGAGGGTCGATTTTCCCTTTATAAACCCAAACTGGTGGGAAGACAAGATATTATTTTCCTCCAAAAATGACAAGAGTCTGTTCAGAAAAAGACGTTCGAAAACCTTGGAGAAAGTTGAAATTAAATAAAATGACTCTAATTAATTATAAAATAATTAATAGAAACACGCATATCCACTCAACACAAAATCTATTTCATGAATG